GGGAAAGGTGTAGACATGTTGAACCAAAAAAGGAGGACGGAGAAAGGTGGCGACATGCAACCCTTCACTTAACCCATGTCCACCCGCCCCATCTCATTTTCTTGTCCATTCGACATAGAATTCCGTCCTCGATATCTTCCTCCAACTCTCATGCAATAAAACTCATAAACAAAATGACGCTGACTGCGGACCGCGGCCGTCAAATTCTTCTTTTTGTAGTTTCATGGCTGAAATCCACTACTCTTTCTCAGTTTATTCCGAATGTCTCAAACTTTGGCAGAAAGGAGTGTTTAGTCGGTCATTTTTTCGTTCTTTAAAGAGAACCATGTTTCTGAATAATATTGAGCCATATTTTTCTATCCTGTCCTCCTCACTGGAATATTCTGGTGAATTTGGTCATATGAAATCAATACACTGCGAGAAAGAACCCCACTGAAATTCTGGAGAGCGTCTTTTCGTTCAACCAGAATACGAGAAGATAATATTGTTTTCTTCAGGATATTAAATCTTGAGAGTGAGATTGGCAATCATCCGAGCGGCCACTCAAGCCCGTTTCGTGAAGTGCATATACATATATGTACTTAGATAATCGAAAAGCAGTAAATCGGCCAAGAATATCTTACACAAAAGATATTCCTCAAGGCTTTCAGCATTATTATATTTATATGTACATACCAGACTGTAATTTGCAACAACATCATGGTTTAGTTTTCAAAAGTTTCGTCATCGCATCAATAAGAATATGTGATGAAATATTTGTATAAAGATGACTTTTACTTGAAAGGAATATCCGCTTCATAGTTTAAACAATGTACGTTGAAAATTTGTACAAGACAAAGGCATGAAATAACAAAATTAAGGGATAAAGTTGTTGGCCTAACTGGATGGGGTAATGTCACATGCCCATGAAAACAGTAAGATCAATTTCATGTTGAGGATAATAAGATCTCAATGCATCTCGACACCAAATTGCGAAATGTGTGTCAATGTTTCTCCAAATCCAATAATATAACAACCCAGACTTTATTTAGCATTGCACTTGATCAGGAAAGGTTTTCACATAGAATAACCAAAGACTAGAATTGTACTGCTTTCTCTCATCGTACACCCACTTTTAGCATAGTGGATGTAAGCTTGTTAATTTTAATCCGGGGTAATTTACTTGGATTTCTTCTGAGAAATTGAAGACTTACAAACTCTTATTCTCAAGTACTATTCTATATGCCAAAGGAATTTAAAAACTGTTGGGCACTAAACCTAAAATTAAAAGCGTAGAGAAATCTAAAGCTATCCAATTGTAACGAACTAATAAAATATCGCATTGGTTTAATTTAGCGCCCGTAAATTTTCTTGTCACACATTTTCGTCCCATTGTCAACAAAGCGCATAGTATTTAGAGAAATATTAGAGCAAAAGTTATTAGTTATTGCATATTCAAAGATTTGGAATAAAATAAACTTGGTTCTTTCGAACATGATATTTAGAATTTATTGTTTTGTGGCAGTACTTTAACTCTTTCGGTGGCAGTTAATGTCAGTGAAATATATGTAGCAAGCAATGATCGTCCTTTGTGGCGGTCAGACATTGAGTTAGCATTATTTCTCCTCCTCTCAAAATTGTACTTCAAAGACAGAAGACATTTAATGAATTATTGTTTACGTAAGTCGTCCACATGCATACCTATAAATCCAAGTTGACTGGAAAGCAACAATTATACCGTGCAAGACAATGATTAAGTACTGCATATATGTACACGCTCCACTTTCCTAACCTTCGAAAGACTGTTTTGCGAAGCAAAAAAGCTTTTTTTCGTCCCATGCATGTCTTTGGATTATTCAATCGGAGTCAAGAATACTTTCAAACCGCCAAAAATGAACTAGGTCAACATGCATACAATTTTTTTAGACGACGACAAGGGCTGCACCCTGGGCGACGACAAGCACAGGCAGCAGGCCAGCCGTAAAATCGTTGATCGCTACAGTTCTCCTGAACACAAAAACCAACCCGATGGGCAGCACACATACATTTCATAAGTGAAACAAGCAAGAGAGCTTGGTCGTCGTTCTTGTAGTGCCGTACGTAGAATAGGAGTCTGAAGAATGGGGAAAATGGGACGGAAGAAGAAAGCTCCCAGTTGGGGAACCAACACTTTCCGGACTTTCTTCTCAGTCTCAAAGGACACTTTTTCTCTTCACTGCTGCCACAGAAAGAGTTGGATTCTCTATGAAGATGCGACATACATGACAAGTTCTCCATTGATGTAGCGCACAATTTGTATTATTAGAGAGAAAGAGAAATGGAAGTGCAGGACAAAAGTCTTTTAAAGAAATGTGATCGAACGAACGAAACAAATGTGGCATAAGAGGGCCTGGAAAGAGTCCCCTGGAAATTGGAGAAAAGCCGAATGAATGCTTTCAAATAACGAGAAAAGTATTGGGCATTGGTCAACCTTTGATGATGTTTGTGTTCTTCTTTGGCTCCTTCAATGTTTGCTCCTCTGGACTGAAGAAATGTGAAATGAAATGAAACTCGGCTGGGGAAAGGAGGACATGGAGCACTTATGAAGTTGGAGGAAAAGAGACAGTTACAAAAAACAAATTAGTGACAGCTGAATAAACTCAGCTTAATAACAAAAACTTTGGAAAGAAAAATCTCAAACAACCCGAGTATGTACGACTATACACATTTTTCGGAGAAGAGACGAGAACAGTGTCCTCTAATACTATTTCGATAACCCTTCCATGCAAGAAAATCTTTTGTAAATTAACTTTGTTGTTTGCTGCCAGGAATCATTACTGCATATTGAAGAGACATGATAACACTGTTTGGAGAAATCAGTGCGTATGTACGTACTACGTATTTGATCAATATTGTTCCCTCGAAAATCCTCTTGCTGAACACCTTGAGCTTTATCACCTGCCAATAGTTGTACAGCGTTACTCATCTTTAGTTCCAAGGCTTCCACTATGCTTGCAATTTATCATTTTAAGATCAATAGCGCTCTAGGCACAAAAACTCCCCCCTCGTCCTCCCACCTCTGCCGGCTTGATTGCCACGTCGTCATTTCACACAAAGCCTGTTTTCTTCACTTTTGACGTTTACTTCGACTCTCTCTCTCTCTCGTCCCTCCGCTCATGTCATGTCATTTAATTTCGTTTCCAATTTCGTGTCCTAACAAAGGACACTTCAACGTCATCGAAATATCTTGATGGATAGATAGTCTTTTAATCTATTTTGAACCAAGTTTGGAGTGAAAGTTCTGCCATCCTCTGAAATACACGGATGACGTAAAATATGTCCCTGCGGCTTCAAAATCTTAAGAGGAGAACAAACAAAGGACAAACATAAAGGATGAAAATTCATAACGCAATAGAAAGGAACTTGCTCTTCTTTGCTTGGCTGCAACTTCAAAATCCCATCAAGATTGAATGCAAAGGAGCTTATCACCATGCTACGCTGGTACTAAATACTACTCAGGTTCTAAATATATACGAGATCACAACTAGGAAGCACAACTTTGATGATAGTCAGTTCTTCTCCTCCAACGAAATATAAATCCGGATTATCTCATCATTTCAACCAGTTCCAGCCATTGACACTGTTTACACTTTGCTGTAATCCAGGGCCTATACACATATATCTGATATTTGGTCTGTAATAATATCCCTACACTTTCTAGAATCTATTCATGTATGTATAAAGTATAAATGTCATACGATGTACGAAGGTTGATTAATAATTTTGTATAAATACGTGGATACGGATCAATGCATAAATTCTCCGTGAACACTCGCAACTTTGTGCTCAAAATAACACGAAGCAATATTTTTAACGTATTTATGCAGTTTTCATATTATCCCTGATTTTGTTTGTATTTATATGTATGCTTTCAGGTTATAGCTGGTACAGTCAAGAGCAAAACTTTACGACATATGGAAGAGACTTTTGGGACATGTTATTCAAATGGGGAATTAAAGGCCGTAAAGTTTTGCACCGCGTACCTTTCCGAATAATTTTTTTAACGCTGTGATATAATTTTTATTGAATAAAGCGTGCAAAAGTAGGGGGTGACGTGGTAAATTATTTTTGTCGCCGAATTTTTTTCAAGGAACTACAAGGAATTGAAAGAATTAATTTTGGAAGAGACTTTTGGGACAACACATTGTGCTTATGGCTGTCCCAAAAGTCTCTTCCAAAATTAATTCTTTCAATTCCTTGTAGTTCCTTGAAAAAAATTCGGCGACAAAAATAATTTACCACGTCACCCCCTACTTTTGCACGCTTTATTCAATAAAAATTATATCACAGCGTTAAAAAAATTATTCGGAAAGGTACGCGGTGCAAAACTTTACGGCCTTTAATTCCCCATTTGAATAACATGTCCCAAAAGTCTCTTCCATATGTCGTAAAGTTTTGCTCTTGACTGTATATTACGTGTATGAGCCGCAATACGCATGATAGTACATGCAGCAAGATAAAAAATGGAAGGATAGAGACACAAACTTGTATTATGGAATTTGTGTGTTTTATTGATTTGAAAGTTGGAGCAAATAATACACGTTGATATTTTATTGTTGAGTTGACTAAACAAAGACCACGCCAATTCTGCACTGCTACTTGTTTGAGTTGGCCTGTATCTTGTCTTTTATTTAGATAGATGGTTTGGGAAGCCACAATAATGTGCCCTTTTGTCTATCGTAATATTTGCTTTCCGTTTGGTTCTTCTGCGTGTTACAGATTGGATGCCTTTGGCGAAATTGAGACTTTGTGTTTGCCGACAAATGGAATTAGACACGCAAACTTCCAATTTCCAGTGGAATATATTTATAGCCATCAAACTATTAACTTGTATTTTGTACAATGTCTGATCCTCGTAAACTTTGCAGACAAAGGTAAATGTACTTTACTAACTCGATGCAAATTACTCACACAGTGCTAATTGTTAACTATAGATTTAGTTAAATCTAGGACAATAATGCAAATAGAAAATAAATACATACCTGCAAAGTGGGAGACACTCACTAATACCTCCAAGACCATTTTTCTTCCGTTTTTTTACTAAATATGTACTTTTTAGAGTCTCTACGCAAAACAGATCTTTGGTAAAATAAGGTGAAATTTTAGAAAGTATCTAGTTTTCAGGGTAATTTCGTAAAATACTAAAGATTCGAATGGACGTGTCAGACTAAAAAGACAATCTTCACGTTTCGCTCGTTGATGATTATATAATGATGATTATAGAATTCTATAGTAGTGTTTTTGAATATAAATTCCCCGAGTTCCAAAGGAGTTTGCGGTAAGTACTTTATGAAGTGAAAACTTGTAACTTAATTTGATAGTCCTATAAACACACAAATCAATGCAGACTTTCCCCAAGTTGCGTCAACTGCTTGGAGCGGTGGGAGAAAGTGCAAGTGGTGGTAGGAGAGCAAATACTGGAGCACGAAGATTTAAGTACCAAAAAATGAGAGTTGACTATTCGAGAGACAAAGCAAAGTCGTTTCAGACTTTTCTGTTTGTGGGGTAATCGTCGGTCTGGTGATTTGGGTTGGTTTTGGTGCAAGACTGCTGGTTCTGCGGGCTACACAGAATTGGATCAGAAGAAAAATGGAGTTGTTTTCAATCGGAAGCGGTTTCCTATGTTCCCTTTGTCACTGTCCACAATCCTTGCAATACAGCTCTGGTGCCAAGATTTGGCGACGACAAATCATGGGTTTGGTAATTTCTGGCTTCAACTGCTTATAACTAAAGCTTTATGTGTGTGTGTATTTTCAACCAGGACTTGGAATGAGAATGAATGAATCTGCCCAGAGAGAGACTGACTGGTCGTTCAACAACAAGGACAGAGAAATCCGGTCCAGTTATTCTTTCCGTTCCATTCGCAATGGTTTGGGGCCCAAAGCAGTTGTTTGCTGGTCCTGCTTTGATCTCCAGTGGTTCAAATGAGCTGGTGATATATCCTCTTTATTCGATGAACTTTTCTATTAGCAATGCTATTCCGGAATCCAATTACACTCTGATTTAAATCCGCTTTCCTTTCTCGTATAATGACTTCAATGCCTCGTGCTTCTTTCACTTTTTGATGAGAAAAGTGAGTTTTGTGAGCGTAATAGAGAAATACAATATCTCAACTCTAGGATTGTTCGACAAGATTGTGAATTGCGGTGATTTAAAATTCTCACATTTTAAACTTTCACATCCTCTCATGCGTAAATCCTTCCGTTTTACGTGAAGGTGAAAGGTATGGTAATGGCGGTGGTGCTGATGTGAGCACTTAAGAGGCTATTTGATGGCAAGGTTGAAGAGGAACTACTGCGTTTAATCCGACAGCTTGCCTTGACGTAGGAATATTAGCATTTTATTGCTCTTCAACATACCGTTTGGGTCGGTAATCTTCTTCCGACAAATCCAACAGAATTATTTAGGTTTGAAGGTTTCTGCCCTCTGGTCCCGGATCACTTATGTACTTATTCTCATAACACGGCCAATAGACAAGTCAACCCCTGACAAGCTAACACTTTAAAAGCTTATAAAAGTAATCCGGGATTTCTGAGTCGTGCTAGGAATCTCTTTGTCCATTTATGGATGTCCTTTCCCCACTCAGAAATAGTCAGTTATCGCTCAGCTTTAAAGACGAGGAGAATCTAATCTAATTGAGACATTGTCTCAGAATGATTTATCACTTCCGTTGTAAATATTCCTGGATGGTCTCGACGATTCTACCAAAGTTTTCTGCAACTCAGCACAATAATTTTGGGTAGAATAACGGTCTCGGTGATGGTTTGACCCAAAAGTCTTTCTAGTTTGCAACAAATCACTAGAAATGCGCAGATCAGTGACACAACTTTAGTAAATGCTTACACCCCTATTAGTAAATTAATTTTTTAAGTTTGTGTCCATTAAGCCAAGGATCTGAAGAAGAAGTGAAAATATATCGACACCAGGAAGTTTAACAGTTCTTAAAACGGGAAACTTGAGAAAGTCTGATATGAGGAGAATTTGATCTGTTATCACACTTATCTTCCCTGGGGACAAGGAGGATATCGTACGTACACACTCTACAGTGTGCTATTTTGTACTCCAGATAAAAAGTTTAAGCCCAACAACAATTTCGATTGTGCACTCAAGTCCCCTCCACTTTCACTCTGTTACATTTTGGATAAGAGGTTTGCAGGCTAGAAAATAGTTTGCTCCCATTTCTCTTCAAATGGACCACCTTCCTTCCCACTTCTTGAAACAGATAGATTCTGCTTTCTAAGAGACCTGCTAAGACACAAACTGCAGTGGGTACCTCATTTACGCTCACTCATTTGCCAGATAAAATTATTTCTTCCGACCAAAATAGCAGCCGTCGAAAATAAAGTAGAATTAAGAAATAAAGGTGTGCCGCCAAATATCCAGACGGAGATGCTTTATTTTTCTGCTGCCTGTTTTAAGGTGGAGAAGGCGCACGCAAATAAGTTAGAAAAGTTGCACGGTTATGAAAACTCAATTTGGTTTTAAAGAGAGTACTTTGCAGTGCTCTGCACAGCCTTCTTCACTTTTCCATCTCGTAAATATTCAGCGCCCGCACCACACTTTGAACGTAGTTATGAGGCTACAGCGAGCTCTAGGTGAGGGAAGATTGGTGGAAATTTTACATATATATACACACACACCAGACCGGACTTTCTCCTCTGTGATGGGTTTGAACTTTGACTTGCTGTGACTGCGGGAGAGCAGAACGCGTCCTTTTTAAGTACAGACGACGAGAAGGAGCTGAATTGAGCACTGTCAACCTCTCTCTCTCCCTGGAACCAAATGTCTTCGTCTCCTTTAACCTCTAAATGCGAGTGAAAGTTAAAGTAGGATTCTCAGATTTAGAAATACCGAGGAGAAAATTTGGCCGTTCTGCCGCTTCACGCACGGTTGCTGTGTATGTGGAAGTAGATAGAAATACTGTTGAACAACTCCTCACGTTTCCCATGATTTCATCACCAAAAATGCAACCAAACGTTTGCCACCGCTGCCCGAAACGCTCTGGTCTGTGGGTTGCTAGAACTGAAAGTGTAGTTCGCTTTCTCTTTCCTTCATAAAAGTTCCTCTCTGAGTCTCTCATCTTTGGACATTGCGACGGAACGAATGCGAGAGGGAGGCGAGTGGGGAAAAGTAGATATCAGCAGTGGAAAGAGATTGCATGTACATACGTCTGCATTCTCCTGAGCCGTGTGCAGATTGGGGAAGAAAGGTCTGAGAGAATGGAAAAATACAGTGAACAAATGAATGCGCAGGTATGTACTTGTACGATGGAGGATTGGAACGTTCTAAGTCACAGAATATATTTAACTAATCTTAACCACCTCACCAAGTCCATTTAAGTGGAACGGAAAATGAAAACGCAATCCAAGTTGAAGAACACCGCTATAAAATTGCAGAAATAGATCTCGTACTACAACATCGAAAGCTATTTTATGGTTACACTTTATTCAAACTTCACGAGCGTCATGTCATCTTCACAAGATTTAAAGTCCACAATTTTTCGCCACGGTTAATGCGGCATGGAAATATCTGTCGATCAATTTAGCTCTCCACGAATGCAAGTGCTGTCTCGTTTCAAAGTACACAAACTTAGTGGCTGTAAAGTGCTGTAGATAAGTTTCTTACAAGTAAATCCTTTTACCTTCTCGTTTTAGTGTCAATTTTGCTTTTACATCCTTTAGTGAAGCCTTTACAGTACGTGTCAATTCGGTCAAGTCGAACAAGAGTATTTACACTTGGAATCAACACTTGCCCATCAAGCAAACTGTCGGGCGTAAAATTTGACCCAAATCGTCGTCTCCAGTATATCTGCATATGAATGTACGTGCTTATGTGTGTACGAATACTTCCATTTTAGTACAAACGGATATGGTTGTGCAGATAAATATCGCCGACGTCTATTACACTTTAAGATAATTTTTATTAACCAGGCAAGATGATTTAGAAAGTAGTCCAACTTTCCAAGTTCCTAATAACGTTATGCATAAAATAATTCTTGCACAAAATAGTGCAGCAATTATTTACTTAATGGCGTAACTTTCATCAAAGTTTGACTAGTTGTGAGAGTCTGATATTTTCATACGGAGTTAGAGAAATTGAAATTCTAGCACGGCAGCATAGACGATAACGCCAGTTTAAAACTTGACGTGGTTCATCATTGTTCATCACCAGTTGTTGTTAGAGTTTGCCAGTTACAATCATATTTTAATATAAATTTGTAAATAAATTCCAGTGAGGTTGGAGTGATTCAATAAATGTACTTCGTATATCTGGAATGAAATGTGATTTATGAATTGCTTGGGTTAACAACTCGCTATGCACGTTAGCAATAAAATATTTTTTACCCCCCGTCATATTATTATAACCGTTTCATTCTCACCCTTTGTGATGATCATAAAATATTTCCCAAAATGTAACACATTTGTTTGAATTGACCCTTTTATTGGAAGATCGGTAGTGGGTCCACCGATCATGAGCTACATACACATAGTTATTTAGGGCTAAATGCCCAGGACGATAGTAAAACTTTCATCAACGAGATTTTATGGTGCTGTACCAAAACTCTCCTGATATTAAGAAACAAACGACAAATTGTAGCACAACAGTCGGTAGTGGAAGTTGGTGAATTACTTTGGACACACCAGTGAGTGCACATGTATGAGAAAGTGGAAAGCTGAATGTGACCTTCCACAACACGGTGTCGACAAACTGTAACGCCCCCAACCATAAAATTTAATGGCGTTCGAATCACCCTCTAAAACTGCACTCATTTCCCTTTACTCCTATTTCAGCAATTTACACTCTCATCTCCCACGTGATTTATTGCGAAAATAGAGAGGGTCCTAGAATTAGATATACGATGCTATACGTACGTACGTACCTCGTAGGAGAGAGCTTTCATTTCAGGTTAAATTAAAGAAATCTCAAAATTTCACTGCATCAAAGCCCACACGTTTCTACAGAGAATTATTAACTACTAAACTTGATTAAGAGCTAGGAAGAACTCAATGTGTGTAAATCTCACAAAATATCGGTTAGTCTTACTTGACTAGTTTCATGATGATAAAAACAGAAGACGGACAACCCGATCATGCCGAAAATAAGTGTTGCGTTTGCAACAACTATAAATTAGAGGGTGCATGTATTTCCTTCTTTGCTTGCATGAGAAGAGCTCATCAAGACAAACTTTTGGTGAGAGAGGACAGAGGGAAAGAAAAGGAGATATTTATGTATTTTCACCACTGCATTTTACTTGAACGCCGTGGTTTAGTTTTCTACGAGGTGACCCTTTGCCATTTGCACCTTTCCATCTCATTAATTTTCTGTAGCTAATGCATTACAGATAGTCAATAGAACTGGGATCAGGCTTTTGAGCTCAAACACAAAACAACACGCGTTCTTGCATAATTCTAGAACAAATTGTCACTCTCACGTTCAGGGATTACAGAACTTGTCGGAACTGAATTGAGCAGGATGGATCATAGTAAAATCTCAGTTTTACTCTGAAATGCAGATTATATTTCCCATGGGCTCGTTATCAATAGTAGAGGAAAACAACGAAATCGCATAAAACTGTTCTGCTACTCGTACGTTTGCTTGTAGCCACCGGGTTGGTATTTGAGCTGTCGGACGATGTTACAGAATAAATCATCACTAGGGATGATAGAAAGCAAGAATTTCTGTTTCGTAACACCATATCAAGAGCAAATATCAGCAAAAGTGGCACTGACAATGCAATCATCGGCTATATTTGTATTATGAGCTCACAAAATCTTGCTCTGAAAAGGGAAAGCAGAGTAACAATGATATTTCCCATGAAGTAAGTTCCATGTATGATTTCTATAATCCCTCACGCTATGAATTAAATTAATTTTGTGGAAGTCTAAATGAACACCTGTATTATCATCTTACTCGTTCCATTAGCCAAGCAAAATATAAAGGAATAAAGGTGAACAAAGAACACGACATCCAAATTGCAAGAGCAGAAAATCGATTTCATCCAAGACACATATAACAGTTTAGAATTTGTTTCTTACCACACAACCAACCGCAGGAGGTAAGGAAACAAACTTGAAAGAGCGCACAACAAATGGTATTCCTTTCCATTTCACGAGTCTCATGCTGTACAAAAGAAATTTGTAATCTCATGTTTTCTTCGAGTGTGAAATTTCTTAACCCATCGACGAGACGGAACAATAGCCTTGGTGAAGATAGATAAATGCCGAATTTTCTCTAAATCAGTTCACTTCATGATGTCTTTCACTCACGAGAAAATCCTCTCAGAGAGTGAGAGAGACGGAAATATTTTAATGAAAATTGCTGCATCAATGTAGACTCGCATGCAGGATAGCGATCACGACGATCAAACGACATATCCGTGCAATGAAGGGTATTTATCGTAACGATATCCAGTTCTTGCGTGCTTTCTCTCCACCTAGCTGCACAAAGTATTTTTAGTTAAGTTTAGAGATTTATCTCAAACTTAATCTTTCTATCAAGTAAGTACACAAGTACATTTGTACGTGTGCATTAACTTGAATACTGCATTTTTTGAAGTCACATGATGTTTGGTGCAAATTTAACGAATGGATTTTGTGATACAAAGGCTCTCTGGAAAGTTGTTCATGCTTTTAGTCCTAAGAATATGGATTTCTATTCTTACAACCTGCACCATTTTTCCTGGTTCTGCTTTTACGACCAATTACGAAAGTAAGGTAAAACTGCGTAGAAAGTGCCCTTGTCATCGCTCACTCGCATACAACAACATCTCGAAAGAGTTCTCACTCAACTTCTTTTCCTGCCACGCATTGCCAGTGAGAACCCGACCAGTTTTCGTTATCTGAGAAACGGAGAAAGTTGGGCTTCTTTGATTGCTTCATTTATCATTGATTCATTGATTTACTACACAGATAGCCATTTGTCCAAGGTGTCAGACCGAAGCTGATAAACAACCAGAACCACCAACCAACTTGCGTTTTTTTCCTCTGGCAAGCTCAAATTTTGTTTATTTACTTGCTACTTTGCTACGAAATTGTAGACGATCTTGCAAAATGTCAATCTGTCATAATCTGTTACAATTTCGTCATATAAGTAAGATTTGTGTACATAAAGTGAGCTCAGAACCGGTACAATCGAAGTTTATTTATTTTCAAAGTGGGAAATGTAACCAGTTTGGATGAGTAAGTGAGAGCACAAAAATGTTATCCTGGTTATTGCGCAATGCATACTTTGCATGTTATAATCGCCGCATGCATTAGTATTTGTAGCTGGAAGTGATGCTATCTAGCAAATGTGGGAGAAAGCCATAATGCCACACACCATCGTCACCACGAGCAGCAAATTGAAACTTGGTGAAATGGATAGTGCGAATTATTATTAAATGAGAAGATGGGAGCAATTTCCATGTCGCGGAGCCATTAGTGTAAGTGAGCGAGAGCTAAAGTGCAGGCAGGCAGGGAGGAAATGTTCCTAGTAGATCGGAATCGGTGGATAGAGAAAGCAATGATGTAGACGGGATTGAAACCAGGATTAGAGCGGGTATGAATCCATTAAAATATAATGAGAAGTCTCATCATCTGCCGAATTTACTCGAGAGATATTAACAACAGTGCAGAATCTCTAATTAAGAAGGAATGACTGGCACCGCACAATCTGCCATAATATGTATTAACGGATTATGAGAAGTACTATGAATCTCATTTACAGCTCCATTTCCTTTCGAATAAATTGACAGCACTCCCACCACCGCCCAGGCCCAACTACCTAAACCAAGCACACTATTGTATTACAATATGGTGTTACCAGGTAAAAAATATTGCACACTCGCAGCACTGAATTAAAAGTGTATATTTTTAATACAAAATTATTACTCAAGAACAAGTTGCACAAAGGTCTCGTTGATATCTAGCAACCCGTTTCTGTATGTAGCTGAAGTTAAGTTTTTAAGGATTCATTGAGGGTATTCATTATTTCTTCGTATCCTTAGTATTCTTC